ATTATTCCCTTCGCCAATGATCTCGCTCGCGCCTCTCGAGGATACACTTTCAGGAATGGCTCTTCCTCTCCAAGGGCTTCGTTTGCACACGCAATTGAAAATATTACCTTTCACCCACTCAATTATCATCGACAATTATACTGGATACATGTATTATCATTTCTCGGCGAAATTTGCATTTAAAAAATCTCTCTAGTATCACAGGAACTGCTCCTCAAGTTAAACCAACATGCAAATCAACGCACACAATGACACACTGGTCGTTTGATCTCGATTTCCCAAACGTATAAATATACGTATACAGATACAATTATATGAGTTATAGCACATCAGTAGATGCCCTTACGCATAAAATATTGTAGGTACTTGCATGTTACGTGATTTTTGTGCACGCACCTCACGCGAAAGAGACAATGGGGGTGAGCTTTTTTTTGTTTTTTGTTTTTTTTTTTCATTTGTTTATTGTGTCGCGGCTAAGTAGGTCTACAATGCGAAAACAACAAGTGACGCTTCCTCGATCGCGAACAATATACACTATTATAGTTACTCGGGTGTATGATACACTGCATGCGTGTACAAAAGCACTGTGCGCACGACAGTCGAGGGTATATATACCTGCACGGAAGGAAGCCCATGCGTGTATACAGGGAGGTGTGAAAAGGGATAATAATATAGAGTTACCCGTAATGTGCAGCAGCACGCGGCGGATAGTGTTTGAAGCATCAAGCATGTAGAAGAGGTGCCGAGAGCATTTTCGTCGCGCGCGCTCGCGCGTACGTATATACCTGTCCATACAGTATATATACATGTATTATACACACTACTCAAGTATTGTACTGTATGCTACATGAAAGGAGACTCGGGCGCGGCTAGCGAAAGCGCAGCATCCCCGTATATACTTATACCCATACACACTTGCAAAGGAGCACCGTGTACCTATACAGTTTACCCCTTTTTTTTTTTTTATTCCACCCCTCTCCTCCTTCGTTACCGAGACGAGAGGCCCACTGCGCTCTCTTTCTTTCTCGGGGGGTCGGCGCTGCATTATTCCGAAGCGCGAGATTCTCATATTGTACGCACACACATACATTATATATATGGGGGTATTGTACGGTAGCAGGCTCCTCCGCTCGGGAGAAAGAAAGAAAGAAAGAAACACGAGCCGGCGTGTATGTAGTCGCGACGGGGTGTGTGCTCTCTATATTCTGCTATGCTATATGGTTACCTGTTATACATACATCCCTGCTGCATGCACATCCGGCGCGCCCCGACAATGAGCGCGTCTATCCCTATTACGGAGAGAATATAAATGCTACGCGCGCGTTGGTACCGCAGAGTCACAACACACAACACATGTATATATATGCACGCGGTTGTGCACTTATTTCCGCAACCATATATATATATATATACGGCTGAAACAGCTTCTGATTTATAATGGATAATCACCAAAAAATAAACTACGAGGCACAGAGAGAGGGGAGGAAATATTTATAAATACTTACCATCTCGCGCCTGCAGTCCTGTGCGTAATTCGTGTATTGTGCGTCGTTGCCTTTGTTTAGCTGCGGTATATATACCTATACCACTACAAACTATTTTCGTCGTGTATCTCATTGTTTTGCGATTCGGAGATCGGTAATTATTTGTGTTGTATACAAGAGCGCGTGATTGTGCCATTTTTGTGCCTATATAATCGAACGATCGGATGGATCATTGTAATTTCTCCAGCAAAGTTAGAACTATAAACACGGGAAATGGATGTCTTCAACGGTGACACTATGCGCGCGTTCATCATCGGGTAACAAGTGTACCGTTCATCCTTACTTTGGGCTCGTAAGGCAAAATATACAGGCTGAAGGAAGCGTCAAAGCTCCGAATGGCCCATCGCTCACCGCGCGCGAGTATACCGGTCGTAAGTTCACTTGACAAAGTCTCGGATTTACCGTACCGCGGTGTATACGCACCGGCCGTAGGTGGATTTGCGACGGGCATTAATACCCCGTGGTTTAAGCTTTATCGATGGCCCTGCACGTGTAGTCTTCTCTCGGTCCGGAGTACGTGTATACACGTGTTCGAAGAGGAAGCGGAGGTGGAGATCGCAGCGGCCACGACGACGCGATGATCTATGCTCTCTCATTTCGCTTCGGAATTTTCCGCGAGAGTGTCGTTGCCGATCGAGAGCCGAGCGTCGATTAATTATCGAAGGGAAAGAGAGATGGGACACGTTTGCGGGGAATGTCTGGCTTTTGGAGGGAATTGTTTTTTTTTTTTCTCCCCAATGTTTCGTTTTACCCCCTATGATACATGGGGAGCTCGATGCGGTGACGTATGTAAAAGGGAGCTTGTATTTTCCAAAGTTGGAAATAAGTAGTTGTCTCGGGATTAAGTACCTATTTTTCTTCTCTTCGAGATATGCGACCCCAAAGAGTTGGTTTTCGTCGCGCCGACCGTGTTATCGAGGGCGTTTAGAACAAAAAAATTTTAAGGAAATCACTTGTAACCACAAACATTTACGTTTTTTTCCACAACATGGCACCGTTTTCTTTGCACCACGAATCGACCGCGTATACATTGAGCAGGTTCGAAACACCTTTCGTTCTCTAGCGTTATGGTATGCTGGTGCTGTCTCGCCACTACCTGATCCAAACCAACAGACAATTAATCGATAGTTTTTCAATCACCAGTTACTCGACTCGTATAGTTTCGTCTCAAATATTGTCTTCGTTTCCGAGAAATCCAAATGGTCACAAAAAAAAAAGAAGAAGAAAAATCACACGAGGCAATAAAGTTACGGCACACGGGCAATTAGGTACACCAAATGAAAAGGAAAAAAAAAAAAGAAAAGAAAAAGGCTCTACAATAATGTTTATCGCCGCCAACAGGTATAAACGCTCGGTGCAACAATTGTCCGGCGATTAAAGACAGTTTAATAGCGATACTCGGTGAGAAAAAAAAACACACACACACGAGTGACGGTATAGGTACATGGTCGTATAGTTTGAGAAATCCCTGGAACGATTCTTCAAAACACGATGTGTATATATACACGGATCGGAAAAATCAGGCGCGTGTAAAGCGGGGAAAACCCCGACGGCAGCTCTAAACTCCTCGAATTCCTCCGATGCCCGAGCGGTCCGACGCACTCTGCGGGGACAATTTACAGAAAGTAAAAAAAAAAAAAAAAAAAAAATAAAGGAAACAGAGATGATCGCGCCGTTAATCGGGCCGAGCTGATTAAGAGCAGCTTAATTACCCGAGTCGGACGGAGCCGCGATAAAAAGAGATCGACTGCTGCAGCGGAAGAGCAAAAACAAGCGGATACACTTACACACGGAGGCGCTAAACGCGATAGCCGTTAAAGCTCCCTCGAGGTGTATCTATATATATATAGCGGCTTTGCGCGTTATCGAGTTACATACCGATACACTGTTCGGCTCGTTCGCTGCGACGCTTAATTGTCTACATACGTACCATATATATATTATATACATCCCCTGGTTGGAAAAAAAAGCACGTAGGAAGTCCACTGTTGACTGTGTACCGATTGCTAACGCTATCGCCGTCGCGTAACGAGTGCTATACATGCGCGGGGACAAAGAAAAAAGCCTAGGGGACGATAAGCCCGTATCGGCCGGTAGTCCTCCCTCTCCCCTCGTGCCCTCCGTTTGTTTGAAAGTTCGTTGTAGGTACACGACAGGTGTTTTTTAAGAAAAATTGCATTTCAAAAGAGTCATCCAAGTTTCGAAAAAAACAGTGCACTTACCCTTTATACGCAAGAGGTAAACGGACGACTCAATCGGGAGCAAATCGATCGGTTGTCGGGAGCGATGAGTTTGAATAGTCGATCAAGGGACGGGCGTACGTATACGTGAAAATATAAGCATATACCAAAAGAGGGACAAAGAGAAAGAGAGTCACTACAAGAACCATACCCTACGTATCCTCGGCAAGGGGGAGGGTAGCGCGCAGTCAGATCGTCCAAGTCGATATGTAAGTAGCTTGGGATGGTGCCTGCATGCATAACTCCCTCTGGGTTTTCGTATATACAGGTATGTCCCTTTGTAAGTACCAAGCAAGGGCCGAACGTCACAGGAATTTGTTCCGTCTACTCTCGAGGTGTATATACGAGCGACAATCAGAGCAACAGCTCCATCGTTGACATTTTTCGTTGCTTTTTTTTTTTTTTTTTTTCTCATTTACATTAAGTTGCGCAAGGTATTTTATATACGTATTCTCGGGTCGATCGTCACTCGAATCGTGCACGGGTAATCCTGCAGCGAAAACACGAAAACCTTCACTTTGGCTCGGCTTCGTTTTTTTTTTTTTTTTTTTTTTTTTTTACGTAATAACAAGGCATGCAACTATATAATATAGCCATGTATAATGACGCAACGGGCGCACAGCGCGTGTAAATTCGTTGGGCCGAATCGATAATTGTGAATTAAATTTCGAGCTGACGATTAGGTAAATATAAAAATTCGAGGCGTCAGCTATTTATCCACTCGATGAATCATAACATCACTCGGTTGGCTGTGTATCAATAATTTATGAGCAGCTCTAACGAGTTTAATCAACTGCCGCCTCTCTCTGCCCCCAAAATACACACACGCATGGAATAAGTATACACTCGTTTATTGTGAAAACTCCACAATCGCATAGCAAACAGGCATAGCAGCTCATCACCATCACCCGTACACGCACACGAAATCTAACGCCCGTATAACGTTGTTATACAGAGACATCGTGAGAGAGTAACCTGTCGCATGGGCTATATATATACACGTACCATTATTTGCGTACGGTATATATATGCAAAGCAGGATACGCGGAAAAGTAAAGCAAATATGTGCTCCGCAGCAGACTATATGGGTCGAGTGCAAAGTTCAGAAGTAGAGAGGGGGGGAGAAGAGAGAGAGAGAGAGAAAAAATCCGAGTGCGAGCATGATCGGTCGTTATGGGGATGGAAGCGGAGTAAAGCGTGTGTAGGGTATACGATGATGACGGCCGAGGTCCTCGATCTATCAAAGTCAGTCGGGGCAGCCCTTCCCGCTTGTCACTTTCTTTGTGCCCTTCCCTCCCCGTTGGCCCGATCTCATTTTTACAAGCGTGTCCGATGTCTTTAAGGAATACATTATAAAGACGGGCGCGTGAAAAGAGGACCGTGATGTCCCTGTATAATGCACGCATGTCAAGCTCTCGCTGAAACGAGGATACAAAAGTTGGCACGGTACTTAACCGTGGCCCTGATGTCCGTTCCTTTCCCTTTTTGACGTTTGCAATTACGATATCGCGGTGACTCACTGTCACGCGTGTGTGGGACGCTCCTCAACATTTTCCCATCGATTCGAGGTTTTTTTTCATCAACGCGTCGTTAATTATTATCATTATTTTATATGTATATATAAATATGGAGGAGGGGGAGGGGCAAAAAAAAACATGTACATAGATCGAACGGGACAAAAAGAATCCGAGGGTGAAATGATGATAACAACGAAGCCGAGGGGGCCGTAAATTACACGCAATTTCCGGTGATATTCCGCGTATACACACACACATATATATATATATATATACGAGAAGGAGCGAGCGACAATATTTTTGCGTCCCGCCATAAAACATAATCACGCTCGCTTTGCTCTCCTTGGACCGTCAGCCGCGACTTTGCATATATACTTTATAAGATCCGAGCCGTGAGCGAGCGACCCTTTTTCCCCAAAAAATAAAGTATACAACAGCAGCGCGTGTATACATGTATATATGTGTGTATCTGTAAAAGCTCGCCCAAGTGCTCTATTAATTACGAGGCTCGCGAGTGTACGTATATATATATATTATGATCAGCATCTTTGTTTTTCAACATTCCCGACACACGGGTTATATTTATTATTTGCACTGCTTCTTTATTATTCATTAATCAATCAATACTATACGTAGCCTCCACCGGAGATATATATGCGTGTGTAGACCAGAGAGCCGATATAATGTAAATAAAGCCGATAAGACGACGACGAGTCGCGAGCATTAATAGACCGTACGCCCGGTTTAACGACTCTCCTCGCGTGGCGACAAATTGCACGAGCTCACGCATCCCCCCCCCCCATCCCTCGTGTGCATCGAAGGTACGAACCTCGAGCTTAAACGCTAATTATCTCTCTCTCCCATGCGGTTTTTATTTATATATATCCGTCGCAGAGTCCAAGAGCAACGACAAAAGTTGCAATATATTGTAGATACGGAGGCGCGGCTGAATTTACAAAACTACCCGGCACGACGGAGTTTACGACCAGTAGGTACATATTTATATACATGTATACAGGAAGAGATCGAGGCTCCACGTGTATAATACCCGCGATACGCAACTTACCCCAACGCGTCTCCTGGTCCATTTAATTTTATAGCCGCGTTTTTTTTCATTTTTTTTTTATTAATTTACCATTTTTTCAATCTAATCAAATAACGATTCCTATCGTGTGTACCGTGGATTAGGCGCTTGTTTATTTGTTTACCGACTCTTCGAAACGAGACTAACTGCAAATTGTCCACGGACGCAACGCGCGTAATAACGTGATTGCGGCTAATAAACGAGTCTGCATTGTATATACGACGCGCATCACGCACTGGAAAATTATAGGCCCAACGCGGGGCGAGTACATAAATGTATGTACCTATACCGTGAAATCTCGTAAGGCGCATCGATATTTAATTAAACGCTCCCAGTGCATGCACACTTTTATCGAAGCTTAGAGGGTTATATGTAGGGGAGATGGATAAATTAACGGTGTACGAGCCAAAAAGAAGCGCGACACTGTTCGATGTTCCGTGCGTATATGGTACATCATGGATGTACTCGGTCCAGCAGCCCTAGTCGGTGACTAAAAGCCGTGTATTGTGAGAGAGTCTCGGGTAATACGAGACACACACCCGTATATGCACAACGGCTCGCGGCAAACATCGTCGAATTAGCATTACCCTGTAAAATCGTCGATACCTATGTATAATATATATATATACACGCGCTCCGCATTACCATGGACACGTGTAGAGAGTATAATATTATAGTCCCTTGCCTCGCGTGCACTTTTACGGAGGCGGAGCACATATACAAACACACACGTAACATATGCTCCCCGTGCACCGGGAGTGATGCTGCATTCGTGTAAGCGCGTGGGCGACTTTATTAAAATGCGTTACACGCGCCCGTCGCTTCGGTACGTGTATAATCTCATCCTCTCCTCTTGTTTGCGATGCACGTAAATGTATACGTATATGACAAAAAGGGCTGCTGATTCCGTGTATACCTGTATATACCTACCGGTTAAGGTGTCCGTGGCTATGGCTGGCTTTTACACGCGTCACGTAAACGAGCGAGTCGCGTGGACCGCACTCGCGATGAATACCCGAGGAGGAGGCTTATACTTGTATCTACCCACCCGGGAGAGGAGACGTGTAGTCTCCCGCTGTTTCCACCTCCCCCCCCCCCCCGTTTTTTTCGCGCTACTTGTTTCCTGCTCCGGTGATCTGTTGCGTTTACTGCTCATGTCTCGGGGAATAATTACTTATCGGGGGACGAGTCGAGGGACTATAGAGTCGCGAAAAATTTTCAACTACCCATGCGTATGCTTACCACAGTCCGGATTTTTACTTGTACCTATATGCAGCGCAGAGGGGGAGGAGGCGTGTTGAAATTATTATTCAAGCCCCCCCGGGTGTAAGGTGCCTCCTCGTGTACAGTTTAATAGTCGCCGCTCGCCTTTTTGATCCACGCATACACGTACACGAAAACTCGAGCGGCTAATGATAATTAATATATGTATATACCAGGCTCGTCCGTGTATATGTGGATCGTTTGCTTCCTGCGCCAAACCCTCGCGGTATACACATATACACATGTACATGTAAACACGTTTAATAAGCTCGGTATATATGAGGTAATTTATACATTACAAAACGACAAAATTAAGCTTCACCGTAATTTCGATAAGTGCAATTAAAAATTTTCATGTTGCATAAAATGGTTACGCGCACTCTCGGTGCTCTAATCTATAAGTAGGTACCTGTACGTACGTGTACGCGAATTCCAAATTGCGTCACGTCAATTTCCATATGGGCGCGTGTGTGAAAAATCCTACGTTTCGGCGGATAGCGAGGGGAAAACTTGTCGAGTGGCAGTCCGCCACCTGTAATCCATCAATAACTCGGCAAGGGGGGGAGGGGAGGAACTAGTACATACACGCGGTGTTTGCAATTTCTACGAAGCGTATAGTATATAAAAAACACGGGAGTAAGTACCCTCTTACCTCTTAATTTGACGAAAAATGTTACACCCGTGCGCGTATAAATCTCAACTTTCGGCGTAATTATGGGTGGATATGTCATTACATTATTTTATACATCCACCCGTGCGAGAAGGTTCACTCGGCATGGTAAGTCACTCAAGAGGCGGATTAATCCCGCAACGAGGTTTCCACGATTAGCTCACCGTCGTTCGCTACCTGTCTTTTCATTGCCCGTTATATACATACATATACAAAGCTCCGATACACATCATGACATGTATGCTCGCCGGTGATATCCCGTTTCGCTTCCAACGGCCGAGCCCCAATGTGCGTAAAACTCGTGTATAGATGCCCCGTGCACTTGGCGATAAAAGGCGTTAGCGTCGACAAAGCCGAAGGCGCAGCTCTCGTATGGTAATGTATATATATATATGCTCGCGTTGCAGGTAGTGCCGAGTCATTTGCCGTGATTTGTCCATTGTTCAACTGTTAAGGTATATATACATTGGCATTCTAGCTCCTACTGCCCATACTTATATGCGTATACATATTTCTATTTTTTTTTCCATAGCTTATTTGCTTCTGTGATATGCGCGTATACAGTGCAGTTGGTCTCATTTGGTATATATATATATCCATTGCATGCTCGTTATATACCCGCACTTTTACTTCCGACTTTGTGGGTATGTATACGTTTATGCACATATACGCGTGCTGATACTACGAGGGATAAATTAATTTAACGCGGCCTGAGACTTGCGACACACGCGCGCTCGTATGCGGTGCCTTTTTTTTTTTTTTTTTTTTTTTCAATGGGGGGCACGGAACTTTTTGCCACCGACCATACGATCAGATACGACTCGGTTGTTCATATATCGCACACGCGCGTATGCGAGCACTAAAAAGGAAATGACGCTGCGCGCACGTGGTGATTTTGTATCAAACTTACTTTTGTAGCGCGCGAGCGATACAATTTTTTTTTTTTCATCCTTTTATCCGACGTCGATTCGATTTTAACCGATCGATTTATTATGTTTGTCGATCGCATTGATACGCGCGTTTTCTCATTTCCGTACGCGCCTCCGGTTAATTGGGGCCTGTTCGTGTGGCGTAGCTCCGTTTTTTCCACGGGCATCGTTCCCCGGTGTTTCATCCCACTGTCGAGGCTACTTGAGGTGTGTGTAAGGAGGAACGGGTATACGCGTTACCGTCGTCAAAGTGACGAGTGTAGATCAGATATTATGTTATGTATATACGTGTGCCCCTTCTTTTTCCAAAGCGCGTTAAAAAACCAGCCGTGAGACAAGAGCAGACCTGACGGGTCCGCCTCATACTTTTGACTGACAGCGGAATCTCGATCTGATGTCGCATATGTACGCGGAGCGGGGAAATATATAATATGGATCGAGGAAATCTTCATCCGGCTGTGGGGTCCCTTCGGACGACCACACCTGCACCGCGCACGCAATGAAAATTCCACTCGGATCGATAATACGATACCCAAAAGTTACGTGCGTTGCCGTGAAACGAGAGCGTGTGTAGTGAAACTTTCCTTCGAAAATATACATTATACCTATACGTGTGTCGCCGTCCCGTGTATATAAATATAAATCAGCCGGACGTTTATTGGGAAACGCGTATTTTCCGTTTTCATTGTATGGGCCCTATGGGTATAGAGGTGTATCGTTATCCGTGTCTCCACGTACCGATTTTACGAGCTGCGGCGCGTCGTTCGATATAGCGAGAGTGATCATCGACGGGGTGTTTTGAAAGCACATTTGCGTCTACGTTTTTTCGAAGCGCCGAGAGCCGCGTAACGCAACCAACGATAAATCGAATGGAGTGAGGGAAAAAAAAGGTGTTGGCTAGTATATCATCGAGCAGTGCAGGAAGCATCGGCAGTCATAACGTACACGACAAATGACGGATCGTCCCGATTCGCGGAATGGCCGACGACGAGGTTACACAACTCGCCAGTTCCCTTGGCTGAGGAAAACACGACGAATAAAAAAAAAAAAAAAAAAAAAAAAAGAATCCGTGCTCTCCGCGGTGTATCCATAAGTAAAACACACATGTACGAGAGGAGTCCTCGGTCTTTCCTCGCGGGCAGGTGAGAGCAAAAAAGGCAGACTCGGGGCTAATGCGAAGCTATACCGAGCAGATTAATCGCCTTTTACCCTATTCTCCTCGAGCGCGCATATACGCGAGAGAAAAAAGGGTCGATCGCGAGTGGAGGGAAGAAAAAAAAGTAGAGAGACAGACAGACGGAGGGAAAAACAAAGGGGGGGGGGAGAGGGTCGAAGGATCGAGGAGGCGAGTCACGTACGGGCGTATGGGTATATATCGGATGATGAGCCACGCGCGCTTTTCGGAATTCCCTTCCATTGGCGCGTGCGCGAATGTGCCGAGCAGCTTTTTCCCCGAGCTTTTTCGTTCTTCTCCCTTCCTCGCCTTTTCGAGCTCGTATACTCTTATGCGAAGAACGCGCCTCTTCTCCCAACCAACGAGTAAATTCTTCTTTTTTTCCTCTCGCAGACGCTGTGGTTTTTACGTACTTTTACGATTTTGTTGCAAACTGGATGAATATTCACCGGATCATCTGCAGGATAATTGAGATTTAATTTCATTTTCCGCTCGACCGATTCTTTTGTGACGCGGAATCGGAGGGTCGGCGATGGCAGACCTTCCGTTTACCTACGTATATATATACATCCGATCTGCATAATAAGATCGTGAAAAGCGTATATATACAGGTATCGTGAAACGAACCAAAGTATTTCCTTCGCAAACGAGAAAACGTTCCCTCGGACGCGGTGTTTTTTTGCCTGCCCTCGCACTTACCGATCTCGGGATTGAAAGTCGACGCACGCGCGGGAAACCCCCGTGGCGGGTAAAAAAAAAAAACAAAAAAAAACAAACCCGATCGGCGGACGCATCGGGGCTGACTTCCCATAGCCGATCGGAGGAAATCGTCCCACGTGCGTGTATATATATGCTGTACCGTAAGGGAAGAAGAAGAAGAATCGGAGGAGAGGAGAGGAGGGGACGATTAATCGGCTACGGCGAAATCGGCGATCGTCTCTTGCATCGAGCTTGAGTTATATGTCGCCTTGCGACGCAGGAAGCCTCCTCCTCTAATTCATATCTTCGACCCGGCCTTTGCCGCTGAATTTCATGAATTCATATATAAGAACGCCCGGGGCTCCCGGTCTTTGTTATTTAAGAATTGCGAGCAAGCTGTCTCTCCTCTTTTTTTTTTTTTTTTTTTTGTCCCCTTCCCTGTACGCGCGCATTTTTCAGTGTGACGCACCGCGGCGCGTGAAAAAGCATCTTCTTTAAATAATCATTTTTCAACGAATAACCCGCGATTAATCAAATTCCTCTCTCTCTCTCCCCATCCGGTGAGGGAATGAATCATTATGATTATCGGGTGAAGCGCGTCCCCGCATAAATAAAGGATGACTCGCCGAGTTATAATTGACGCTTACCTTCGAAATCCATCCCCGATATAAAATGAGAAAATGCGAACAAAAAGCAATACGTCAGAGGGTGTATTGTCTAAATACGTGGCAATTGTTGGGTGTGCAGTTTGTTTACAGTAGTGGGTTCGAGCTCGAGGCTATTTACCACCCCGGCCACCCTTTAGAAAAACACACACAAGCCACGTCTTGGCTGATGAAAAAAAAAAAAAAAAAGGAGAAAGAAGACAGAGAGCAGAGAGAGAGAGAGAGAGAAAAGAAAAAACAAAAGTCTCACGGACGCGCTAATGATCGATCGGGTGAAAAGGCAGGCTGGCAAGCGAAGAGCAGCCAACACGGCAGCAAACAGGATAGACGGACGTGACAGAACTGGGGGGGGGGAGAAAAAGGAAGACTCCCGTGTTGGTGTGTACACACACACATATATTTGATATCCCCCGTAGAGGTGCTTCGGACCGCCCTGAAGTGTGTGCATGACTCTCCGATTGGGTGGGCGAGCCGATGCGTGGGTATATAGCTCTTAAGAGTTGAGTGTTGCATTGGGGCAAGAAGGGCTCCTTGTATCCCTCCGACGATGCACCTCAAACAGACACACACATATACGTACAGGATGTACGATAAAAATATTTTGTGGAGACGCTCACACAGCTTCGTGGCTACCGATTTCAACGCTCACATGTATACAATTCACTTAGATATATGTAAGTACATGTGTCATTTTCTCCCTGGGTATGCGCAAACACGCACGAATCTATATATGTTATACACTATAAAAACCCCCCCTTCCTCCCGCCCTTGCCCTTAAAGTTGGTGTGCGTGTTTGTGTGTGCAGTTGAAATGAGAGACAATGAATAAGACGCGATGTATAATGCAGCCTATGTAAACATACACACACATGAGGCCAAGAGGTGGCAGGGAGGAGGAGAGAAAAATATTTGCACAGGACACTCGCTCGGTCTCTGTCGCTCATTATCGGGCCGACTCTCTCGTGCACCAACAGCACATAATATATACATATGCAGCAACAAACTCAGACTCGGAGACTCTGAGAGATAAAAGAAGGAACGGGGCATCAACGGTTGTGTCCAGGTGCATGCATCTGCAGGATATATACAGAGGGAGGGTGAACCGACGGCGATAGAGATTGATTCGACATGCATAAATTAGAGAGGACGAAGCTATTTTTTTTTATTTTTTTTTTTATTGTGTGTGTGTGTGTTGTTGGGTATATACAGGTATACGTGTGGCTGTGCCGCGAGAATCGGGCCTCAGATTGGAGTATCGGTGGTACGGGAAGAGGGAAAAAAAAACGCGCGCGTATAAATTGATGACTGTAGGCAAAAGCCAAGGGGTCTATAATAATTAATCATCGCTGCTGCTCTGCATGTTATATATATATATATATATATATATATATATATATATATACAAGTACAGCTCGCATGTATACATATAATGCGCGCGTGAGGTGCAGGTTGTGTACTTAATGCGCGCCGAGGCATCCTCGTGTCTTGTGTATTTTTTGCCCCTCGCGACCTCTTTTTCTTTCCCAACGACATCATCCAGCTCGATCGGGAAGCTCTGTCCGACGGTGGAGTCGCCGTGATCCGCAAAGTGCCGAATCAACGAGTCGTCCCATAGGTAAAGTTTACGAAATCGGCGAGCAAAAAAAAAGTGCATCTAAAAAAGTAGATGTACATATACGTTGGTCGGAGAGTGTCGGGGCAAACGGCAGCGCAGAGTCGTAAAAGTGGCCGTCGGCGCGTCGCAAGAGTGTAGGGAGGCTTTTACGAGCGGGCGATAAAAATCATTCGTCCGCGAATTTTCGCACTCGGGACAAAAGGAAGGAAGAATGAAAGGAAGGAGACATGCGGATGTGCGTGCCTCGCGGACCAAAGTTATTTCGATGTCGGCTTAGAAAGTGTGCACCGATCCACGGGGGGATTGACGCCCGCGAGCTTATACTATCGAGGACGTAGAAAGCCATCGCTCGTTTCTTTTCTTCCAACCGAGGAAGGAGAGTTTCTTCCGAAAATCGGCGTCGATCGCCTACCCTTGAAACCTGCCATTTCCATCGATGAGGAAAGATCGGTACACCTATACACAATGAAATGTTTGCGAAAATGTGTAAAACATAAAATAATACAAGAGCTGCGTTAGGTTGGGTTGTGCATATAGGAAACCGGTGCGAGGCAGATGGAAGTAAGGGACGAGGTATATTCAAATCGAAAGAGCCTCTTTTATTCCGAGCTCGGATTCCACCTGATGGGGATACGGAGGAAAAGCTTCTTGTATACATTGGACGCGCTCGTAAAGAAGAAAAACAACGAGCAAGCATAAAAAAAAAAAAAAAAAAGGGAGTGGGTATATACGTACACAGGATGGTTTTTATCGGCGTGGTCGCGAGATTGTAAAACACGCGGCCGAGAGATGCCGATTTCCAAGCTCGTCCGAAAATCAACGCGACACCGTATAAACACGCGAGCGCGTGTGAAACCAGAGCCGCGCCTCTTCATCGTCGTCGTCTCCAAGTAACATATATATATATATATATATATATATATATATATATATTGTACGGCACTATCTTCTCTCTCGCGTCCGAGTGCAGGGGAAGAGGACGACACCTACACGTGCGTAAGGTATACCTACGCGCGAGATTATCGATGTCCCGTCGAAAGATAGCCCGAGGAGAAGGAGAAGAGCGAGGGATATCGAGGGTGATGTTTCCGAGCGATGCGGTTGATATTCTCCTCTCTTCTACTCGAGCGCTGTAGCCCATCTGCCGCATGGCTTTTTCGTTTTTGAGGCGTCTCTCTCTCTCTCTCTCGACTAATTGGGCGGATGGGCCCCGTGGGAAACTTTTCTCCGTGTATGTAAAGAAATACAGAGATGCGGGGAAATCGATAAAAAGCCACTCTTTTGCTCCCAGGTATTTCCCCAACACGTGCTGGGATATTTAGACACGTCCACCATTTTTGTATGATTATCATTTTGAAAAGCATTGTATGTTTTTACTGACGAGTCCCCCCTTGCGTTGGTGTTACAGAAGGCGCAGCCGTAGCGAGGAGGATCCTGGCGTCGTGCAGGTCAGCGAGGAGCAACAGCAGCAGCAGGTGCCAACACCAGCGGACAACAACAACGAGGACGGTGACCACCGACAGCAGCAGCAGCAGCAATTGGAGGAGGATCGGACGGTCGGTAGCGGCGGGGGTGGTGGCGAGGGAGGAGGTAGTAGCGGGGACGACGACCCGGAGGAGGTTCAAAAGAGGGTAGCCGCGGTGCAGGTGCAGGTACAGGGGATGGAGGGCGATTGGCGGGCGTATTGCGAGCACCCGCTCTCCGTCGCTACCGCGGCGATGCTCAATCTACAGCAGCAGCACCAGGTCACGGCCGTGGCTGGCCACCCGGCCGACGATCCCGCGGCCAACTACGTGTACGAGTACTACACCAAACTGCCCGACAAGGCCGCGGACGTCAAGCTCCCGCCCAGCCACGAGCTCTGGACCACGTGAGTGATTTTTTTTTTTTTTTTTTTTTTTTTTACTTACAAGTTAGCGTGCACGTTGTACATGCCAGCCCTCGATGCAAATGGCAAACGCGCGCAGCTGCGGACGCGTTCACGCATCGACGATTCACGGGGACGCTAACGCCTCGTTTCCGCAAAAGCGAGCCATTTAAATTCACGCGCGACAAGCAAACTCGTTAGAGAGGTTGGAAGGCACATGGGGCACTTTTAGCCTTTACCGACGAAGGTATACAAGATGCGGGCGTTTAAACAGCTCGACGGAGATTTCGAGGCTCGTGTACAATTTATTGTATTTTACGTTATTCCCAACAACAATCATCAACCGCTTATACATAATTTGTATACACGCGTGATGCGAGGAAAAAATCAAAATCATCCAAATAATAAACGATTGGCATTTGTTGCGCGCTGCAACACGTATAACAGGAGATGTAAAATCTCGTGGTCTTTTCACACGCTGTACAATGTATAACTCTGAGAAATGGCCAAAGTTTCAATAACACTCGACGACCCGACGAGTTTTTAATCACTCCGACCGCGCAGCATCTTCGCCCAAAGACGCATTGTATACGCTTACTTGTATAATAGTTTTTGATCATTTTCCCCTCGCCTATATACATACACCTATACACGAGACCAACGGAAAATACACCGTTGAAACAACAATATTTTCCTCCATAGGGACATTTATTACAACTCACAAGTACGTATACAAGCTGTTAGCGTATTATAAACACCGCACCAGCGCGTGTGTGTATAAATACGCGTTGTACGCACAAAGCCGTCGTTTTAATTGCGATGATTTGTCTCTGCGGGAAAAGAGACGCAAATTCACAAAGACCGAGCATCACGTGTGCATGTACACTCGAGTATGTGGCGATTAACAATGATCACACGCGTACAAGTATACACGTGGCGTTTACGAATGGCCGGCCATCAATTTTGATAACACCCGAGAGAGACGTGCCGGGATTTTTCAAATTCTCCATGCGTACGGGATCATTTTGGCTCGTTTAGCCAATAAAACGTTTGTTTTCGAAATTCGTTTGTTCTATACCAGTCGCCAGCCGAACCGTACGACCCATCGGTATTCATGCCGTCGAGCTTCTGCACACACACGGAGACACGAGGACCCCTTCTTTTTTTTTTTTTTTTTTTTTTTTTTTTTTTTTTTTTTTTTTTTTNAAAAAAAAAAAAAAAAAAAAAAAAAAAAAGAAAAAAAAAAAAAAAAAAAAAAAAAACCGAGGGCTGCCGTACGACAGACATCGGAAGTCCAAACCCTATACATGAGCTTATACGGCGCAGCGCGAAATCTCCTTCGCACGATAGATCGGCAGAAGATAGGCAAATAGACACATGCAGTATACATACCTAACGACGAGAGAGGGGTGCAGGCGCATAGCTGTGTATATTTTATGTATATATATATATACCGTCGCGAGCGTAATTGATACACACGTACACCACCTTTAACTTTTTATACCCATACACACATGTATATATATAAAGCTAGGGGGTGAAGCAAAGGTTTGGGGAGGCACTGACGCGTCACGTGACCTGCATGTTTCGTCTCGGGCAGGTGACAATGAAAATTAGATTAAAATCCCCTGCGATACATGCGCACAGGGACACAAAGTTTAAAACACTTTGGCATGTGTACGTAGATGAGAGGCGTGCAATCGGGAGATGCTATCGCGCGGAGATGCGACTTTTCGGAGCAAGAGACCGTATACACGTATACTCGTATGGATTAAAAGAGAAGCGCACCGAGATCGGCACGAGATAGAACCCTCCCTTCCACCAAATTCGTACACTCTCTCTCTCTCTCTCTCTCAATCTCGTATAAGTGTAAATGTATGTATTTTTTTTTTGTGCAGAGCTGGTGCACTCGGCTTTCGGATTCGTACGTTGAGGACGTTCTCAAACAGTAAATTACAAATATGCTAAGCGGCCGATATAAATCAAAAGTCCGGGGTTTCCTCCGCGACAGCGTGATTTTCGGCCGAGAGGAGGGAGACACGTACATGTATATATACACACGCACACACACACCCCGTGGGGCGATGGCACCGCAGAGAGAAAGAGAGACCCCCATAGTACACACATAAAAAGGAATCTACCGAACGGCCCTGTTGTATATATAGTTTGCAAACCGAGCAAATGGACCGGAAGGCTCAGCCCTCGCCTCTTTTTCTTTCCTACCTTCTGTTCTCCATGCATGCGTAATGTGTGTATAATGGGTGCCCCCGACGTACCCGTACATCGCTCTCGTTATTATTATTGTACCTGTGTACTTACGGCATATACATCGCGACCGAGCAATTGCATCATGAGAAAAATTACCGGCATCACATTCGGCTGGGGGCAAAGGGGTTCGTATTTTCTCCGATACTAAATTCTCAAGTTCGCCCCGATCTGCTGCAGAGGAGTAGATAAACAAACGAACAACGGCGCGTTAACCAGCTTAGAGACAATTCCCTCCTCCTCCTCCCCTTGGTGGAGTTTGTTTAACGTAGGGGTGCACGCGGGTGGGTGTGCTTTTGCTCTCCAAAGTGTATATAACATAATAAGAGAGGCTGCAAAATGGAAGATTCGCAGCAGGCGTAATCACTCACTCGGCACTTGGTTTTACGAGCTTCGCTTTACGATCCATTTCGTGATGGGGAGGCAGGAAACATATATACCGCGTACGACTTCGTAAATCCAATGTCGCTTCGTTACGGGGAGGTATAAGCGGGTAGGAGGCGCCGTATTGTGTCATTCCACCGTTTTTTATTTATCTCTCTCTCTTTTTTTTTTTTTTTTAAGGGAGGGCTCAGTTTATTTTTAACGCTATGTGCGATACGAGCACTTGCTCGGCTTTTACTTGTACCTGATGCGTATTTTCGAATTGCCCAACCCCGTGTTCTGGATACAAATTTACACAATAGAAAGTTATTCGCGCTACGATAATTCATGCGTGAGTTGGGTTGGACTTTTTTTTTTTTTTTTTTCTCTTTTTCTTTTTCGTCGTACTGGATTTTAACTGACATTGTTATACACGTCACGTGTTTCGCGTGTGCGTATACCTGTTACGTGTACCGCAATATTTAGGAATCGTTCCTTTCTTGAATGGCATAGGAATAAGTGGGACCTAGAAAATTTCGCGACATCTGGAGTAACAGAGGGTATTGTTTCGCAGTTTTTTTTTTGTAGAGGGGGAGGTGAAAACGTATTTTTGCTTTGCACATCACCAGCATCTTATTTTGAATCGTTACCGTTAAGACTGCGGTCAGTTCAGTTGGCTGAGTGCAAGTCTTGGTACCCCTCATGTATTGACATTAACCGACTGACAATTACGTCAATTTAACTCGTTTTTTAAGTAATCAACTCACGAAACACTCATTCATGCGTACAAGCCAAGTTAAATTTTTAAAACGATTTTTTTATTTGCCCGTTATACCTAACTATATATATTACGGTTTTGAAGCCAGATATGTGTGTATTACAAGATTCGAATAATGTATATAAACATATTTAACCCAAAGGTTGTTGTGCTTATATGTTTTTCGACAAGTACTGAATCTTCATTGTAAAGATGCAAAAGAATTATCCAAACGTCAAAACACATGTAACGTACACGGCGCCTTGTGCCTATACAGCTGTACGTATAGAAAAGCCCAACCTAATCCTTGCAAACGCGATTTCCTCGTACCGGTTTTACTTATGTACTGCCTATTGGGTGCTTCGTCGACATTTGAATGCGTAATGGGTCAAAAGTCAAAACGACCTGCTCCTCGTCCCGAATGAGTCGCCTCTATGTACCACATCTGCGGTGCACGCATACACAAATGCGTACCCGCGTAAGTATATACACACACGCACGCGATATTTATTATCAGCGATCTCGCGTCACGTCGTAAAGAGCCGCGACTACTTACTTGCCCGGCCGCTCGTACGATAGCACGGCGGTAGCTCTTTGCATCCAGCCGGGCATTCGAGGCACGTATAACACACGCGCGCGACTACAAAGGTAGAGAGAGGATATACATCCCGGGGTATATGTATACATATATACGCATGCGGCTTGGCCTTTTGTTGTCGCAATAACCATAATTCGTACTCTAGTTGCGCGTACGCGTACTATTATATTAAGTGCTCGCGCGGCCGTTGCAATAAAGACCCCGTACGCAATACGTGACGACGCGCATTACGCACGAGAGATGTGCACGGGGCTCTTATTCCGCGAACGGCGCGTGGCTGCTTGTAACAATAATACACCACGCTTGTCTTTTTTTTTTTTTTTTTTTTTTTCTCCCGCGTTATCTCCTTTTTGCTTTCGGCATAGCTTCCCGGAAGGGCACCCGCGTGTGACACGACCAGGACCCCCCCCCCCTGGCTCGGCCGCGGTGCTATTTATTAGGGCTCGCTTTCGGGACTTGCTGTACACACACATTTTTTGTTTTCCCACGCAACACCTTTGCCCATTTCGCGCTTATCTTAACGTACGCTTGTATATTTGCAAAATGAGCCGGATAAACTTGTCTCCCCCCACCCCCCGGGACTACTGTTTCGCACGATCTTTTCTGGTACCTCTTTTCTTCAGTTTTCAAAGCAAGTACCATTACGAGCCCGACCTCGGTTAATTAAACAGCCACGAATCATCCCGGAGTCTCGGCAAACCTCCTCCGGACGTCATACTTACTGTTGCGGGGTATTTTTTTGAGCACTGCACGTCGCGCGTTAGCAATTAGGCTCTCCCCGGGTCGCCCCGAAAAAAAAAAAAAAAAAAAAAAAAAAAGAGAGAGAGAGAGGTATTATATCCGGTTTTAGAAATCGCCCACCGGTTTTCACCTGTGACTCCGCGTGGCTTTGGTGCTCGAGGCCCATTACGGGGAGGTCACGCGCGGCTGCCGAGCGGGTTAGACGAGCTTTTGCCGGCTATAGGCGCGCCGACCCCGAAAACTCCACATCTCCTGCTTCGTATACACATGTTTGTACCGTACGGGCAAGTCGCGATGACAACTTTTTTCTTTCTTTCTCCTTCGCGTGCACTTGCACTTGCTTCGTACACGGGGCTAATATATTGCGAGAGAGAAATAATAGAAAGAAAAAAAAAAATAAATAAAAAAAGAGGCTATTTTTATCCGCGACATTTGCATTTTCACACTTGTCGCATGTACATAGGCATCTACGTTATATATTATAGAGAAGGGACATTGTGAACGCGGTTTGTGATTTTAATCAAGAGCTCGGCGACTCGCGATTTTTGTGCAAATTCACGGCTAGCTCCCTGAATGTTAAATCATCAGATTTTTATCGCTCGTATACTTGTACCAGTGCCGGAGTTGGGAATAAGGCAAAGTTGAAAAGCAAGGGGACTATGTCATATTTTTCGGAACCTCCTTGAAATTCATATTCGGAATTTGCGTGCCGCAAATACACAAATGTACACGTACATGCTTGCCGTAGAGTTTTTTTTTTCCGTCTGAAGTATATAAAAAGGACGAAATGGCTCCGTAGCTTGGAGTGGAATAATCAGCGATATGCGTATAATTTTGATAAGGCAAAAGCGCGCGTCGTCGACCTCCAAACCTCCCCTGTGGGCGCTCGTCTTCATTTTCTTTGCGCACGAGTGTTTTGCGTCATGGAAGTGGAGTCGCGAGGTGCGAGTTTCGACTTTTGCTTTAGCTGTTATCATAGGGGGTTTTACGAGGTACGGACGCAAGAGAAATTGGAAAAAATAAAAATATACACCATATGGAACAATGCGGGCGATCAACATTTACCACGTGATTTTTTTTTTTTTATAAGACATACAGCTAAATTTGTTGTAAAATCAAAGGTGGAAAGTTTACCAGCACCGCACAGGGAGCAATAAAACCCAGCCCTGTCTTCAACTCCATATATTTATATGCACACACAATTCCTACATGAGTATATTTATACTCTGCATATAAATAAGTATATACGTGTGTTTGTGCACACGCGAGAGATATCGTACGTAGGGAAATAAAAGAGGCATGCCTGCAAAGCACCGTCGACTGGTGTGACGCTCGGGGTGTGCACACTGTACACGTGAAGTAGTTAACATGTTATATTTAGCATGATAATGCGCGTCCACAATGCCCGCACCCTTATAAACTGCCAACGCTTCTTCTCCACTACTCCTTTTTTTTTTTTTTTTTTTTTTCCTCTCTTCACGAGAGCGCCCGTGTATACACCCCACGGTCAGATGCTCCCGTACAATGAGCCGTGCCGAGTCGCCTCCCTACCTCCCGATACCCGATCTCTCTCGTATAATCCACGTATCGGCGCGCAGTGTATACCAGCCCGCCTCGAGAGCACCTGCATTAGAATCCGCGCGAGGTTGTGCACGCACACCCAAGTCCCGAAGAGGGAGGTTTCGCGCGAGCGCGCCTCTCCTCCGATGAATACTCGAGAGAGAGAGGAACGGAAATTTGTATATATATATATATGTGAGAGCCGGGGGCTATGGGCCCTCATGAATTCGGCTTAAACGAAATGGATCCAAGCGCGTTGTCTGTACGTGCCGCTCTTCCTCGTTGCCTCGCGCCGAAAAAAAGGCCTCGGGGCGCCTATGTTCTCCGATTCTCTCTCGATTCCTACATATAATGCAATGCTAATCCGCGAGATGTACGTGACGTTACCGGCGATACCTACCCCCCCGGTGTTGAGGAGCACTCTATACGCGCGTGTGAACGGCCGCTGCAGCGGAAAAAGCCAACTCTTCTGTAATCATTGTTGTTACGGTATACCTATATACTCCCCGATGGGCTGCAGAGGGCTCTCGTTTGGATTTGCGTGTAAGGGGGGAGGGAGGGAAATGCATATCCATCACGGATTTGGCGCATGATTTATTTATCGGCCGGCAAGGGGGTATAATATATATATATATTATAGGTTTTCCGACACTTTTGCCTCATGTGAACCAACCGAGCCTCCGTACGCGATACTATATGTACGAAATAAATTATACTTGTACTTGGAGGGTGGGGTACGCATAGGTATTGTTAATTTTACAGTTTTATAACGAGATGCAGTTTTAACGCGACGAGTATACACTATGTGTGATTGTGTTGGACGTACCGGGTGACGACATCACATCGCGAAAGGAGCTCTAGGTGATAATATGTAAATAAGAAGAATCGTTGATTCGCGCAGGGGCGTGATGGGACAAAAGCTGCTGGTGCAGGAGGCGCCGGGTGCGACGGGCCGAGTACTGGAGACAGGCGCCGAGGGCTCAGGCGGCGAGCTCCACCACTTTCTCCATCAGTACAACAACCAACAGTCGCACAGTCCGGGCCAAGGGTTGCAGGGTGGCGGCGGTGGTGGTTTGCCCCTCGCGCTTAGTCCCCAGTCCCAGCAGGCGGCCATTGCGGGGGTAAAGCGGGAACCCGAGGACCTCAGCTCGTCCAGGGGCGGACAACCCGCCAAACGGCACAAACCGAACGCCCAGCCCGACAGTCCCACACCACCGGGGATGTACCACCACCAGCACCACCAGCTACAGGTAAGGGACATTATCTGCTATGGTAAAAAATATTGTACGTACACGTGAAAAGAGGTGTTTTAACTTTGTTTGTTTGTTCGTCACAGTACGGCAGCCCGTATGATCCGTACGGGTCGTGTAGTCCACGGCTGCAGACGACGTACGGCACAGGGGGCACGGCGGGCAACGGGGCTCCGGGCTCGAACGGCTCGGCGGGCATGCACCAGGAGGCGACGGCCGTGTACGTGACGAACGACGCGCTTCCGCCCCTAGTGTCATCGGGCACCACGTCACTGTCCACGTCGACCCCCTCGTACACGAGGTACGAGGTGGTGCCGAGCTCGTACACGTCCACCCACGCCATACGATCGGCATCGAGCAACAACAACAACAACAACAACAATAACAATAACAACAACAACAACAACAACAACAATAAGGTGCTCACCGTGGACCTGCCCAGTCCGGACTCGGGGATCGGCGCGGACGCCGTCACGCCCAGGCAGGACCACCATCAGCCCACGGCGCTCCACCAGGTTTGTCTCACTATTTTCTTTTGTTTTTGTTTTTTTTTGTTTTTTTTTTTGAATTTCGTTTTTGCTGTACCGCAACAAAATACTTGCACTCCAAGGCAGATGTTCTTCTGCCAAAACTATATGGTGTATCTATTTTTCACCCAAGTGCTAATTATGTACCGAAATTCGAGGGTACGCCCATGTTTGTTCTTCATGGGCGTTGTTTTACAAGCGATTGGTAAACAGACGTCTGGTGCAGTAGCGACGGGTGTATGCGAAAGTCACGCGGCTGCTATATTGTGCACGTTGGCGCGCGCCGACGGACCGATTAGTACAGGGTCCAGGCGTTTTCTCGCTACCTCCGTATATGTATATATACACTTGTATACGTGTGGCATCGATCTCGATCGGCGCTCGGGAGATACGAGGCCCGATAATGCACGAGTCGCGCCACAAGGACCCACGCTCGGCTGCGCGACGGAAGCCGATCACTTTTTTTTTTTTTTTTATGCACTTATCGCACGCGGATGTGCTTGATTGCTTAATTTTCGCAAATGGCTCTGCACTTTGAGTGCACGAGGGGACGGGTGATCCATGGCCAAGGTGTCCTTGCCCGGTAGTTTCGAGGGAATTTTAAAAGGAAAATTCACGATTTATCGACACTCTTTTTCTCTTCGGCCCTTTTTTGTTTTGTACAGACATGGACGAGGTGCAACACGTGTTCTCTCTTATACACATGAAAAAGTGCATTATATTTATGGACAAGCACTTTTTGTTTTTTTCATTCATCGATTAATGCACTCGCCTCGGATTCCCGTATAAATCAGTTTAACGCTCGTATTATACGAAGATTACGAAGCGCGAGGTGCAGGCGCGCAGTTTTCGCCGGTAAAATTAGAATATTCCATTTCGCCAAAGCGCATCCCACAACCGCACGCCGTTTGAATTTCAATGAGATTATCCCTATAGATATATGTAAATTATCGTCCATCGTGTATCCCCGTATATCTGCAAATTACCCGCGAGACGCGACCATTTTCACCGTACACGCCGGCCAAGATATCATCTTTAATTTGAATCGGTAATTTGATTCCAGCCACTTGTACCCTTTTTTTTTTCTTACCCGCCACTCGCATTCCTGACTCTTTGTCATGCGTACACGACGTCACGTGTCATTTGAGAATTTTTTTTTTTTTTTTTTTTTGGCAATACATACATATATATGTGTAACGTTTCCCTGTAAGACCATTATATAATATGGTGTGCGCCGTTCGTGCGAAACGGGTGTTTGTCAAAAAGGAATCAGCCCCGCGATCGGCGTTAAATGTATACGCAGCGACAATCAACGCGGTCATTTGTCGGGGTGTCCATTGTAATGTTCATTTGGGCGGAGGAATGAAAAAAAAAAAAAAAAGATAAAAAAAAAAACATAGATACACGATATAGCGATGGANAAAATTAAAAAAAAAAAAAAAAAAAAAAAAAAAAAAAAAAAAAAAAAAACTCGAGCACACGCGCAAAAAGGGAACATAGGCGCGGGACTTTCTTTTCAACTTTTTCAATGGCATACGCCCCTCCATTGTAATGTTCATTTGGGCGGAGGAATGAAAAAAAAAAAAAAAAGATAAAAAAAAAAACATAGATACACGATATAGCGATGGAAAACGGTTGATTGGAGCCTACGTTGTGTGTATGTTTGCAGTCGTCGTTCGACTACACGGAGCTGTGCTCGGGCGGGCCGGGCTCGGGAGGCACGGTGGTCATGGAGGGTGGCAACGGGGGCGCAGTGATCCACCATCCGCCGCTCCAGTTGCAGCTGCAGGGACACGGGGCGGGCACGGGGACGCAGACGGTGCAGCGACCGGGCAGTGGACTCGTGGCCGCGGGAGCCACCACGCCCAACTCCAACCAGCCGAGGTCGCGGCCCTGGCACGACTTTGGCAGGCAAAACGACGCCGACAAGATTCAGATACCAAAACTGTGAGTATATTTGTGTTGTTTACCCTCCCGCGTCCACCTCCTCGGGAAGGTGAGTGACAGCCGAGATATCTCGTACCGATTATACGAGGTACAAATGACTCGGGTTTGTTTCGCTCGTTTTTGCCGGAATCGCTTATCTCGATGCTCGATTTTCGACCCGTTTGGTATACTCGACACGTTCGGGATTCCTATTGAGAAAAAAAAAAAGGCACCCGTCGTACGGTGATTTTAAAAAACGGCCATACGCACCGCACAAATATGTTGTAATATCTCGCCATTACGCAAATCGACCGATGATAAATATAGACAAAGAGGAAAAAGCACCTCTGCGTTTGATGTGTGAAATGGCGTGTGTAAAGAAAATTAATTCGACAAAAACAAGAAAATAATAGTTCGGTATCGATAAACGGGCCGGCGGCGCCCTCGAGACGCTAGACGTAATACCAACATCGTCCAAGAATTTCACTACCGCGAGACGGTGATTTTTCGTTGTCCAACATCGGAACCGGCAATACGCCACTGTTTTTCCTTCACAAATTCCAAACTAAAGACGATAGAACCAGATCGCTCGTGCTCCTATATATACACCATCGTCATGTATAATTACACGCAAATGAGCGCCGGTTGTACGTACCATCAAACCCCGGGAGATCGCGATAAGCCGGGAAATCTAAGCCGATCTCCCCGCAAATCGAGCGTGTACCCGTATAATATAATATACACACATAGTTTTTCCGCAATCTCCGGCAATCTCAAAATGGAAACAAAAGGCCTTTTAAAACGAAAAACCCGAGGAGCCCGAGGCGCGCATCTCGCGGATTCAATTTTTAACGCCTCCTTTTTCCCCCCCGGGAAGTCGTAATCCGCGCGAGCAACAAAAGGAGGAGGCCGATTCGATTAAAGTCTCTCTTACGCACGGCCCGCGACACGTGAAATCGCGCGGAGTATATATATATAATTATATACGCAAGCGCATTTGCATACACGCGCTGCACCTACCTTACAAATACGCGTATACAGCGAAATAACGTTGCAATAAAGCGGAAAAGGTAGGCGGGACGCAGGGCGTTCACCCGCGGTATTGTCGAGTGCACTTATCGCGGGTACGTATATATATACATGCTCCCTTTCTCGGTCTGCGCGTGTATCTCTTATTTTTGTGTCGCGGAAGGGCCACGCGGATGGGAGATACGGAAGTTCGCGCGTATAATCTACTCACCCGTGACTTATCTGTTCCGCGGCGCTCGGCGTCCACTCGTGCTCTTTTCGTTTCGGGGGGCGCGGCGTAATATTGCTCGATTAAAAAGACGTTTCCTCGTTTCGCATCCGCGTGTGTGTACGAGGGGAGCGTCTCGGAGTTATCGATGATATTTGTCACGCTCGACGCGGATGGGATTTCGCGCGTATCAACTCGTGGCGCAATGAACACGTTATACATATGAATGTAATGAATTTGTTGGGCTTGGGGATTTACGGCTACGATAAGCTAAGTAAAGCGGCGCGGGTACTTAACGTCTTCGTCGCGGTTGCCGGTGATAGAGACGTCCGCTTCCTTTGGGGATGGCGAAAAAAAAAAAAAAAAAAAGAATCATATACTTGCGCGTTGATTTGTCGTTTTTTTTCGTTTCGAGACCTTTAGATAAGCAAACTACCCGTGGCTGACGCAATCGGGGAAATATGAAGGTATCTGTATCGGGGGAAGAGCGATAATTTACCTTTTAGACCGAAAATAAGACAATCTCGTCTCTCGGGTCTATGAATAATAATGCGGGAGTAAAGTGCCCGGGAGCCGCATTTATTTACCCGCTCGGTTGGATCGGGTGCGATAAATTGTCGCCAAGTACACTAATTATTCGAGAAAAAGGGCTTAATGGGTGCCATTTCGATTGTTGGTAGAAAAAGGCTGATCTGATTCAAAAGGTATAGACAAAGACTCGTAATCCAACAATTGTTTTACCTTTTTTAACCCTCGTAGATGTCATCTTTTGGTAAAAGGTGAAAGTGTTAATTCTACGAGAGCATAAAAGCAAAGTTACTTGATACTGATGCTTTTCAGAAAATCAAATATTTTACCTGTACTAGTATTAAATTGAAAAAAAAGAAAAAAAAAAAAAAAAAACGCTAGCACCAATAATCGAAAAGCTTCAAATTGAGATGGTGCCTTTTTTAGCACCGAGGCGTCTCGTACAGGTACAGCATAGTTCCGGGCGCAGTCCGACGCGTTTCTTTCTTTTTTTTTGTATCCCCTTCGTCCCTCGGGTGAAAACTACGATTTTCGACCGGCTTTCATTCCTCCCGGGAGCGGAGAGATCCGACCCGCCTGAATAAAACATGCCGTCCCGCGAGTACCTTTGGTGCGAGCGAGCCGATACATCGGGTCAAAAAAGCGCGACCGATCGGCGGAATGTCGAACGTCCTTAAAAACAGATGATAATTGCTCGCGTCGCAGAGGATATATACGCGCGTTGTCGTACATCTCCGCGGTATAAGGAGAAAGAAAAAAAAAAAAAAAAAAAAACTCGAGCACACGCGCAAAAAGGGAACATAGGCGCGGGACTTTCTTTTCAACTTTTTCAATGGCATACGCCCCAGCGTCCGTATGTACGTGTATTGTATGCTCCCCGCGTCTCCTTCACCTATTAACGACGATCCGTCGATTTCTCGATCGGCGCAAAAATGCGCGCAGCAGACGCGAAAGTCATTAACGAACCCCGGCGCGCTTTCTTTCTCCGCGTTTTTTTTTTTTTTTTTTTTGTACAAGTTGTTGCGTGATGGCTGATTGGCTGTGTATCGGCTCGAGGGAAAACTCGCTTTTTTTCTTTTTTTTTTTTTTTTTTTTTTTTTCTCATTCCCCCCTTTAATGGCTCTCGATTTTAATCGCCGCCTCTTTCTCGGCCAACCCTCGGCGCACCAGCTACCTGGCCTACGGCTTCAAGTACCACCTGGAGTCGCCCATAAGCACCTCGCAGCGGCGCGAGGACGACAGGATAACCTACATCAACAAGGGCCAGTTTTACGGCATCACCCTCGACTACGTGCCCGACCCGGACAAGCCTCTCCTCAAATCGGGCCAGACCGTCAAGGTAAGCATTTTCATGCCTCTTTTTTCCCCTCGGAATATTTATCTTGTCCATAGAAGAAAAGAAAAAAAAAAGTAGAGCTGACGTCTTCCGCTATGTGTAAGAGAAGCTGGCTTTTTCTCCCGCGACACCAGCTCCCATGTGAGACCATGTGCAGCACATACACACACGGTTGTTGTGCCGATCAAGCGATGCCCTCGGGCACCGTCTCTTTAATTGTACTTTATTTTTCTTACTTTTCTACACGCTTGTACACCCGACTCCTTAACGGTCGTACATAATTTGTGATTAGAAATCCTCGGGCTTTAATTGATGGTCGATACGTTGTTGTGTTTACGGTTGCCGAAAGGTGATTTGCGATCATCTTCGAATCGACGTTAATTAGCCGCGTGTACGGGGAGTATTTGATCTGTTACTGTAAACAATTTTGTTCCGATTGCCACTGGTACACATAACTTATTGACATTGCTCTGATTTACTTTAATTTCAACCCTAAAGTGATACATCTCAGGTTCGGACAATAATTATAAAGTCGGTGGGACATTTTTCTTTTAATAATCCAAGAATGTTAGTTTTAGAAAAATTTAAGATAGGTTAGCAGGTGAAGCTCATTTAGTCAGGTATATTAAGTTTGGCAAAAAGCTCGAAGCAGCTCCGAGGCGAGATTCAATGAAACGATCAAGAAGAAAGTCCGCGCTTGCGTAATGACTAATCTACGATGAAAATAGTTAGCAATCAGCCGGTGTTTTTTTTTTTGTGCCCATCATCGCTGCCGTTTGAGTTTTCTCTCGGACGGACTCTCCATCCCAACGATTAAAATGGCCCCCCTCGGTCTTTTTGCCCCGTGCTGCTATACATACCAGGACATCAAGGGGAAAACTCGGCGGGCGTAACATTTCGTACATATAAGCGAGAAAAGGCAGATAGATCTCTTTTTGGGGGGGGGTGGGGCATTTATATAGAAAATACGGCGCAAGGGGGAGAGAAACCGGTGGAATGAGGTCGTTTGTTCTCGCAGTCGGGTGTCGTACGGTAGCGAGCGACTTTAATTGGCGGCTAAATGGCGCACCGTTAGCTATTTCCATTGCGATAAAGCTCGCGCGCGACATTTTTTCTCCTACCCCCCCTCCCGATTATACGAGTTTGCTGTACGCCGAGCAGCTTTCTTCGACTTTTACACGTATATTTATATGCTATGCTTACTACCACTGTTATATACGTACGAGTGCCGGCATTTCTTCCGCTGTTGCGTTATATCACCTTTTCGCGTAAGTATGTATTGTGAGAGGAGGAGGACGGGGAGGAAAATTTCTTGAGCTTTGCCGTGTAGCGACGCCGGATGCGAGAGTTTCACTTTGCGCCTTCGAGGCGATGACGGAGAGACGAAATTTCGAGGAAAGAAAGAAAAAAAAAAAAAAAAAANCGTTTCATTGTTTTTGTCTCTTTAACTGTCTTTTACTTTTGTCAGGTTGATCAAACTTAAGGCCTCGACTTTTCTCTTTGACAGCAGTTTACTTTTACCTTCTTACTTGATTACAATCATTTCGTCATTTATCAATCATGTTCTTTTGATGATTTCTCATTACAAAAAAAAAAAAAAAAAAAAAAAAAAAACAGCTTGTTTTTAGGCGATCGGAGAAAGAAGACGTGATTATCGATCGACGCGCCGTTGACGTTTTTTTTTTTTTTTTTTTTTTTTTCGGAGCGCTTTTAATTGGGATGATGCTGCGCCTTCTTTTCATCCGTACGTGTACTATCGGCTCGGCTTTCGAAAAGGCGACGTTGACGCTATTATATGTGCGTCTAACATAAAAAAAATTGGTTCTCTCGATGTACAGGATCCGCACTTGAAATTCACAGCCGCGCCTTTTCATGCGGATACACGCCGTATAAGTACCATTTAATACACAGCACCGTTTGCCAAAGATAATTTTTCCCAATCTCCGTTCGGCAAACCATCGAATCGAACGTACTCGATATTTATATACAACTTCATTTCGTATTATCATCACCGACTAACACCGCGATATCTCTCTCTGTGCTGCCTACACGGCCTGACGTAATAAGTATACGTTTTACTTTGCTCAACACACGCGCGAGGACTTTCTTTTTCAACCGGACGATTGAAATACCATAAGAAATGTCATCCCGATTTTTTTGCCATTTAGGAACTCGGACGACATCCGCAAGCGCATCGATTCTCCGAAAGGGCGCGTATACTGCAGGGTACACGTTCGGCATAGGTATCTTACATGTAATGTTTAGACCCCCAAGGGGGGAGGGCCCATTCACCCGAATCTGAAAAAAAGCTATCTCTTACTGCATAATACATATGGTGTATACCCTACTGCTATAAATATACGATAGTAATAAGAGGTAATACGACGTGGTCGTAATCGTCATGCCGTGCACTTAACGGGCCCCCCGTGCTCTCTCGCCTACGTACCTATACACCTATATGTATATATATATATATATATATATATATATATATATATATATATA